CATAACTATTATTGGTATGTACTTAACCCGAGAGTAGCATGGTCCATTTGGGTTGCATGGCACCGGAAAAATCTAAAGGATGGATAGTTGAGAAGAGGTTATTTATGGTTTATTAATATATTATAAGTTTTAATATATTAATATTAAATCATATTATTTAATTAGTATTGATAAGGAATTAATTTGGAATTAATTTTGTGATCAAAAGAGACTAATTAAGTATAAGGGTTGATTTGGTAAATTATTCATTCTTATAAAGTAGGCTTATGATCCATAGTTCTTCATGTTGGGCTACACCCATATGGTAACCCATGGATACTCCATGGAGGTTCATGAGGGATATGGAAAGTCATTAGGGTTTACATGGTGTAACCCTAGTTTTCCAGACTATGTAAGAATCCCTCTAGCTCATGAAATAAGGACTAGTGGAAACACAAGAGGGCTAGCCAATTTTATGAGTGCAAGTGACCTCCTCTCAATTTCCTCCATTGTTGGTGGTCTTGCGTGATTCCATTTGAGGTGAAACACTTGGGGCACTAAGTTCTTAAAGGTCCAAGGCTTCCATCTAAAACAAAAGGTATGTCATCTAACTTGTTTTAGTACCCAACTATCAATGTTTTGTATGCTAGCTATGGTAATACCTTGGAAAGTTCAACTTTGCATGTATAATAGAGAAAAAATAGATTCAACGTATTTAGGGTTGAATGCACACCTTAGGAGTGTTAGATTGCTCAAAACCATTCTGTAAGTTATTTTATGGTGTGTGGTATGATGGGGGAACTCACTAAGCTTCGTGCTTACGGTTTTCAGTTTTGGTTTCAGGTACTTCGTTTTCAAAGGAAAGGAGTTGGCTCGACCGCAACACATCACACCATGTTTTCCGCACATGAGATCCTTGGGATTACACTCTGATATTGTTTTGTGTTAATATGTTTTGATTACTTACACTTTGGTTTTGACATGGAATGTTATTATGAATGTTTCTATACTAATTGGTTTTATAATAACTTAATTAAAAATGAAATTTTTGGTCTTGAATTTTGGGATGTTACAAAAATAATCAGCACCAAAGAACTTCCCAGGAGTAGACGCGATTAGGCCAGGAACAATAGATCCTGAAACACAATCAAGAAACCTCGCAGTAACTAGAACTAGACAAAGTATAATAAAAAACCTAGATCTATCATACATAGATAGATCTAAAATGAATCAAACAAAAACCCTAGATTTAAGCAAATAACAGAGATCAAAAGGATAATCAACAATATAGAAAAAACCTGGAAAGAGTTAGATAATCTAACCTTGATGTTACAACGCCGATAAGAACATATCAGTCGATGAACTAAACCTCGAGCAAACCTTGCTCTAGTACCAAGTTAAAAAGCGATGAAGCAAATTTTCCTGACATCAAAATTTCTTATATATTTTGAGGACAAAGAAACAAAGATTTTAAAGATACTTACAAATCAAACCTCACTACAAAACCCTAATTTACTCTCATAACTATACATTTAACCTATACTACAAAGGTTTTCAATAATCGATCAAGAATAAAAGGATTATACAATGAAGAAGATAAACTACCATGAAACCCTAAACAAAAGTAAGAGAGAGAGAGAGAGAGAGAGAGAGAGAGAAAGAGAGAGAGAGAGGGAGAGAGAGAGAGAGAGAGAGAGAGAGAAAGAGCTCTGAGTGTGTCTGTAGAGAAAAATTGTCAAAGCCTCGGCCTAGTGGCGGAAACACCGAGCGACGTTACTTTTAGAGTCGTTGTCTTTCTCCAAGAGGCCTTCTTGTCGAGTTTCATTCCATTTGACAGTTTGATAGTTTTTGTTTTATCTCTATAGGTTAACCTAGGAATACATGTGATTTTGAGAGGGTTAACATAATGTTGGTGAGTTCATAGTTATGGTAAGTGTGGAAAAATAATATGTTGTTGTTCTTAAGTTAGCACTCGTTGTAACCTCAACCTTGGTTAGTGTTTTAGCATATTCTCTAGTGTTTTGGAAATGGGATTCAGATAGTGAGGTCACTAAATCTGAATCTTGATTTAGATAGAAGAGGTATACTTTACTCGTCACCTTAATTCAAGGTTAATATCCTCGTAGTGTTTCTATTATCTTATTATAGACACTGTTTCTCAAGGCATACCTCAAGGTTTAATGGTATTTAGATTAATGATCGTAAATCAAACTCGTTTCCTCGAGTTTGAGCGTACTATCACTACTTTCTTAGGTTGGTTCCTATTAGTAGTCTAAGATAGTTAAATGTTGGTTGACATGAACTCACTTCCTCGAGTTTATGTGTACTATCACTACTTAATTATATGAGGAGTTTAAGATACTAGTTTTAGTTTGTTTAACTCGCTTCCTCGAGTTTTTGTGTACTATCACTACTTAATTATATTAGTAGTTTAATACACTTAGTTTTAGTTTGACAAATTTACGATGAGCTCCTATAATTGAACTATGAATGTTGATCCCGAAATAAATAGTACGACCCTTCATCGGACATCACTGTGGTAAAAAAGTTATGCCTGCTTTGACTTGTTGTTAGGTTGTAGCTAGCAACCACAAATGGGAATGTCAATTCCGTGTGTATATATATATATATATATATATATATATATATATATATATATATATATATCGTATTTAAGAATTAACGATTATAGGTCTGATGCTAGCTGGATATCAATCAACGTGTTGATAAATAATGTCTTTTACAACTCTTGTCGTGGGGGCCTCCTATGGTCAGTTGTGTTGTTATTCGCATTGTGTTTTATACACTATACTTATTATAAATATTATTTACCTCTCACACACACCTATATATATATATATATATATATATATATATAGCATAACCTAGAATTTGGGTAGAGTAATAATAGATACTAAGCTTATCCAAAGGTAGCTATAATGATGAGTTTCAGCGTTTTTTGACAACCGAACAATGTGACAACTAGGTATGATCTTATCTATCATAGTAGTTTTGCATAACAACTTAGCATAATTTTAGCTAAAGAGTTTGGGCAGATAGCTACCACCATAATATTATCCTAACACTATGGGTATAATTATCTAACTATATTTAGCGATAACTAAAGATGTAATTTGGACATTTACCCCCCCCCCCCCCCGAAAAGGGCTGAAAATGGGGCTGTGAACTCACATGTTAATTAGGAAACCATTGATGTAGTGTAGAAATTCACACACACTAGGACTTTGAGAGTCATTCGGAATAGTGGCACGAGAATCGAGATAGAGAGAGAATGAGTGAGAGGGGTAAGGAAAATGGTCTACCGAAGCTTGCTATTTATAGTAGGTTTAGGGTGCGCGCCAGGCAAATGTGTGCGAGCCGTAAAATCATGCCACATGTCGTCTCCTCAGTGTGCCACATCATCTCGTATCTCAATGAAATCATTTGTCAGTACGTGTGGTGCACTGAGTGTGAGCACGCTTGACAGGATAATTAAACTTCGAAACTTCATAACCTTGTATACGAACTCGATTTTTGACGAGTCTTATATATTCGTGTAGATCACTTTATTCTCTATAACTTTCCTTTTGGTCGTTTTGGTTTTGATTTTCGTTTTTCGATGTGTTTTTATTATTGTTAAAAATCAAATATTCCTCATGTGATCTCCATTTTAAGTGTTCTTTGCTCCATAATCCCTACTTTAAGTGGTCTTACGTTTGTCTAGTTGATGACTTTTCTCAAAAGTCGACAAATTTTCTTATAGCTTTCGACGTTGTAACTTTTTAAGTACGGTAAACATTTATTTCCTATAAATATCATATATTGCTCATACAGTGTTGAATTCTTGTGAAATTTACATTTCTAGAATGTCGGTAGTGTGTAGAATCTAAATATGTTAATATGCTCGCAAAGTGAGACGATTTTTTTGCGTACCTATTTTTGAGACTATGATTCTAACGTTGATAAGAATGATAGTTGAAATTTTGGCCGTTTACAAGATTGTTTTATCACATTTTGTTTGTTCAACGATCGACGATGGTTGGGGGCGTATTTCCTGGCTTGTCGCAAAAATATCGACTAAATGAATAATCCTCTGCTGCCCCCATCAATATATATCTCTGTGTCATGAATATGAACGGGTCTTGGATATGGACAAGGATCTACGCCTCACCTGCAGTTTGCAAGAAACGAGCCACAACCCACATTTCCACAATAACAAAAATAACCCCTTTGAACAAACTATTTCATGAGAGTAAACCAAGAATAGCAACATTGACACAAATTACCTAAACATAATAAATAATAAATATGAGATTGAATGTTATAAATACATAGTATTTTCAACACTATTGAAGCAGCATATCTTTATGAAGTTTATCCAATTATAATAATGTTGTCCAAAATATAAAGCAAAAATGTTATTATTTGGTAGATTTTTCAGAATATAACGTCTTTAATATAAAAAGCACCTTATTAATTTGTAGATTTTTCAAAATATAACTTTCTAACTAAACATAGTTAAAGTACAATCCTATAATCCACTAATTTTTTGAAGTTCAATGCTTGAGTAACAAAATACTGAAGCTTTGTTTGGTTCAGATATCAATTGATTAATGTTATGTAACTGGTCATTGCCTTATATTTGATGCCTACTCTGAGTAATCTCTTGATCGGATGATTGTTCACTTACTCATAAATGAAGGCAATAATAAAAACATATTTAATAGTATGATATGGACGAATTGTAAAATAATAATCATACTTTGTCAACATCAATGATAACCGTTTAACATATAGTTTTATTATTAAAAAAAAAAAAAAAAAAAAAAAAAAAAAAAAAAAAAACAAGTGGGCTTTACCAACTCTTGCTTTCCACTATGGTTGGCTAAGTCCACAACTGCAATGAAAGCTCAAGTCTGACCAACCCCACGCACAAGAACCACCCCTCCACCTTCCGATACTCCATTCCCACTCCTTATATATTCCCATACACCCTATCCTTCCATTTCAGCTTCATTTCAACCCACCATTACCCACTCTCGACTCTCCATTTCACAGTCAAACACCAGAGATTTGTTACAATGGCTGCCACCGGAGAAGCTCAGCCTGCAAAACACCAAGAAGTTGGCCACAAGAGCCTCCTTCAAAGCGATGCACTTTACCAATACATTCTCGAAACCAGTGTTTACCCCAGAGAGCCAGAATCCATGAAAGAGCTACGAGAGGTCACTGCTAGACACCCTTGGTAAGTCATAATTACTGCATGCATTTGATTTCCTAATGTTATATATAACGTATTAATTATGATTCACGAGTACGTAACTGAATTAATTATTAATTACCATAAAAACATTGTGGGTGCTTTTTGTTATCTATCTAATCCGTTTTACTTGTAATACTAAATGTAGGAATCTTATGACGACATCTGCTGACGAAGGACAGTTTTTGAACTTACTTCTCAAGCTCATAAATGCTAAGAACACAATGGAGATCGGTGTTTACACCGGTTATTCTCTTCTTTCTACTGCTCTTGCTCTTCCAGAAGATGGAAAGATATTGGCTTTGGACATAAACCGTGAAAATTACGAAATTGGCCTTCCAATTATCGAGAAAGCCGGTGTTGCTCACAAGATTGACTTTAGAGAAGGCCCTGCCCTTCCTCTTCTTGACCAAATGGTTGACGACGTAAGTACTTACAGATTTCCGAGAGGTTTATATTTATAAATTTTATTTTCTTTAAATTAAAAGTTAACTTTAGTTTGTATACTTTGATTTACAGGTAAAATTCCATGGATCATTTGATTTTATTTTTGTGGATGCTGATAAAGACAACTATCTTAACTACCACAAAAGATTAATTGATCTTGTGAAAATTGGAGGAGTGATTGGCTACGATAACACCCTTTGGAATGGGTCTTTGGTGGCACCTGCTGATGCTCCACTGCGAAAGTATGTTAGATATTATAGAGACTTCGTATTAGAGCTGAATAAAGCGTTGGCTGTTGATCCAAGAGTAGAGATATGTCAGCTTCCGGTGGGTGATGGAATCACTCTATGTCGCCGTATAAGCTAAACACAAATCATGGACAACCGAAATAAACAATTAATATTTATCTTTCATACCTTGAAAACTTGTAAATGAATCATATCTTTCATTGATTTCCATTCTATCAATTTGCATTGGTCATGTTTTAAATTATGCTTCCATAATCAGGATTTAAAGCACGAGTATTGCGGCCAAACTTTATTAATTCTATGTGCAAAAGGGTATATTTGACTGAAGAAACTAATGCAAAACGTTATTTTTCGACAACCGGGACCTTTTCCATAATTATACTACTTATTTCTATAGTTTTATTTTTAAATATATATAAGATATAAGATAAGATACAGGTAATCTCTATAATATTAATATTACACATGCATTATTTCAGTAAATTTTAAATTTCCTCCTATTACATATAGAGAATTTCTATAATAATCCTATTACATAAGCACAATGACAATTTCTGCAATTCATCCATATTATCGACACATAGGCCATTTATGTATTTTTTACTTTTACACAGTGATCATTTATGTAATTTTGTATAATTTTTATTTCTTGGAAATTTAGTAGTTGTAGATATATTTTTGTACTTTCATTATTATACAAGGACCATCTTTTTAGTTCGCAAAACCCAAAAAAAAAAAAAAAAAAAAAAATGTGATGAAGTGACCATAATAACAGTGATAACGTGGTATTGGAGATTATAGTGGGTATATTGTAAGTTGCCGTAGAAAACGGTTTAACCAAGCCATGCCCTAGGGTTTGCCTTCGGCTGAGCGTTTATTTGGAAGGTTATTTTGTTGTCTTCTTGGGTTTTTGCAACTATAAATATAACTCTCTTGGAGTCGTATTCCACACTCCATACACTATTAGAAACCTGACTTTCAGCGATGAAATTAGCTACGGATTCTAACCGTAGGTAATCAGTGACGACTTTCTGAGGGATTAGTGACGGAACGCGCAAATATTTCAACCAAAACCCTTACAGAATTTTAGAGAGGTATTACCGAGCGATCAAAGACGGACCGGTAAGAATTTATCGACAAATCCTTCCCTTGATAATCCGTCGCAAAATTAAAACCTCTTAGCGAGGGAACAACAACCGATTCCTAAAAATTACACGACCTTTTTTTTGTTCCCCTCGCCAATCGGTCGCCGAAAATCGAAGACTCCTCTTCTTTATTCCCCGCTTTTCTTTCTATTTTCCTTCCATCGTTTTATTTTCATTCCACGCTTTTATTTTCCTTCCCTCTGATTTCTTTCAAAACTCTACACAATTTTCTCCCAAAGCCATAATCGAACCCCCGTCGACTCGAATCCCTCCTCCACCCGGAAAATCAGCTCCACCACCGTCCACCTGCATCGCCTCTCTTTGATGTATAGGAAAACCTTAGAAATCACATCCTCGTTGGCTTTCATGTCGTCCGTCTACCTTCGTTGTTGACTTGCCATTTCCATGCCAACGCCATTCGATCAGTTAGATATCCTCTATCATAAACTCGCGCAAACCTAAAGTAGTCTTCATCAGCTTCTATACTGGTTTCTATTAGTGTGTAAGTTTTATTTCCATATACTCTTCTTTCATTTTTAGCACAAATCACAACTCGTTTTTCTAAGTTCTACATTCCTGAACTCCTTAATGTTGGTTTTGCTAGGGTTTTCTCGTTGTCTACACACAATTTGTTTTTCCTATTAGAGTTTAAAGCCCTCAGTCTCTCTGGATGAATTTCTATGATTTTTTTAGTGTTTAGTCAATAAGAATTTTCATATTAATTATCATCTTAACCCTAATTTCTACCTCCTGATGATTGCAATATTTTGGATTATATAAATTATCATATAGATTCCGTTTTAGATATAAATTGATATGAATTTTGAATTGGGTGTAGGCATTTAAAAAGGGGCTTAATTTCAAAACGATAGTAATCATGATTTCCATAATGTCTAGACCCATAGTCCATAGAGATAAATTAACCTTTGAGTATCTCAGTATATGAATATTATGATAATACCTACTGTGACAGGTAGCAATTTGGTTCCTTGTTTTAGGATCCACTTATAAGTGCAGTTATGGACTAAGCATTCATGTAATGGACAAGGAAAGGTATCAAATATTTAAGTATTTTAAGAAATCATTATTAGATAAGCTATATATTGATGTTCTAAACATTCATAGTATATGCCTCTTTGGTATTTTCTTATAAATTGTTGTAATCTTAATTTATAATGCAATTTGTTTGGTTAGTGGTACACTATGATATGAGTAGTCTCTTGATTTCCATGAATAGTTCAGTTGAAGAGTGTTTGCACGCTTCTTGGGGAAAATGAAAATGGCTTTTGATCAAACTGTCTAGGACATGTAAGTTCAATGTCTAATCCAGTAGATTGTAATTAATTTTTTATGCCCTCATGATGTTTGATCTTATAATTGATTCCATACAGTAAAAGAGGAGTTAACAAGAAAGTTCTTAAAGTTCATTCAATGGAACATAAGGTAACTTTCTTTCTTTCTTTCCCTTTTTCATTTATATTTTCTTGAATCATTTACCTCACATTTATTAACATTTTAATCTTTGTTTTCATTGGTTCTTGATGCTACTAGCGTGACATCCCCAAAATCACGGCCAGAAAAGACCGATTTTTTTGTTTATGCTTTATGAAAATCAAAGTACTTCATTTTATAAAAAGGTTGCGGAATATGTTCCCAGAAAAACATGATAAATACGTTATTAAAACATTTTCGAAGAAACGTATTTTTATTCATCTTAAAACGTTTGGGATGTCATCGTTAATACCGAAACATAAGCATAAACAGAACTTACAATGATTTACACTAGTGATCTATAGCTCTTTAATTCTCTCAGTGTAAAGTCACTTCACTTCATTACCTGTGATATACATAAACTGAGTGGGTCAGGTTGGAAACCTGGTGAGTACATAGGGTTTTCAACCCACAATAATATAATTGTTATGTTTAATTATCAAACAATTAACCCCATTACCCATTCCCGTTATCTTCTTTACTCTTAAGGATTTCACCTAAGAGTCATCTATTATTCATTCGTTTATTCCGAAGTCCCTTACTTCCAGGGTTCTAGGACTGACACTAAATTCATAACTGCCAATGTTCGTTCGTAAAGCACTAATTCCATAGCTGCTATATCTTACTCATCGGGTACTAAATCCATAGCTACCAACGCTCAACTGGTACTAAGTCCATAGCTACCAATTCCTACAGGTACTAAGTCCATAGCTACCAGTGTCTAACTAATAGGTACTAAGTCCATAGCTACCAACAGGTACTAAATCCATAGCTACCAACGTCTAACAGGTACTAAGTCCATAGCTCTCGGTGTTTGTCCCATAGGCACTAAGTCTATAGCTGCCAATGTATACTCACGTCATCTCCTATCTCTCATCATTCATCTACCCATCATCATACCCAACATATTCGTATATATAAAATACGTATACAGTTTAAATCCTTTAAAACATGTATAAAACGTTCATCCAGCATAGACAGCAAGTATTCATATAATATGCACACATAGCACGTAGTTTATATAAAGATACTTCATATCTATGTGTAAGATGAAAGGACCATGCACTCACCTGATTAGGTGGTGACTCAGCACTCGGACAGCGCTTCGATACTCTCACAACGATGTTCCTTCGATAAAACCTAGTACCGATACAACTAGGGTTTAGTTTAACGATAACCGCGACTCATAAATCAGTTTGACTATTATTAAGCGTTAATAATGCTCAATATAACTCATAATAATAGCCCAAATAATTATTTTAAGGACCTAATAACATTCCTATAATTATTTGGAAGCTATATTAAAAATTGCGTAAGCGTAGCATACTTACAGCGAATTTTATCGAAAACCGGAACTTAATTGGAGCAGCGTTTCAAAACCGAAAAACTCCTTTTTCTCGGGACTCCGGGAGCCTCGGGGCTTCCTTAGGGTGCTAGGGGTTCACCTAGACCTTAGGGAGGGTTTGGAACCTTAGAGAGAAAAAGATTTTAGAGAGAGAGTGAGAAATGGTGTGAAAAATCCGGAGCATCTCGCATGTATTTATAGGGGCCGAAGGCTGCCTCTACGCGGGGCGTTCAGCAGCTACGCGGGGCGTTCCCTCGGATAAGGGCGCCAGCTCGCAGCCAGCTGTCTCGCACCGGATGGAGGGGAAGCGAAGGTACGCGGGGCGTACCCGGACCTCGTACGCGGGGCGTAGGACGAGGCGTCGTAGCGCCTTCTGGACCGAGAGCGAACGGACGCGGGGCGCACGAAGCCGGACGTTGGGCGTAGCGAGGAGCGACGTGTCGCTCATCCGAGCGAGACCGTGGGCCGCAAGCGACGGCTCTGATCGCGCCACGTCATCAATCTCGCACAGACTTCGCATTTTCATGCTGCAACTTTAAAAATTCGTAACTTTCGCATACGAGCTCCATTTTCGACGTTCTTTATATCCACGCGAAGGTGGGAACGTACTCTACAACTTTCGTTTAGACTTCGTTGGCTAATTTTGTCTCGATTTTAAATTTTATATTATTAACGGGCCGGGACATGATTGATCCGTTAAATCCTCATAACTTCTTCATCCGATATTCCGTTTTTGCCCATCTTTTTTCTCGTTACGCTACTCTCAACAAGATCTTCGGTTCTTGTTCAGGTCGTGTCGGCTAAAACCCGCTCGATCTAATATTCGAATTTCGGGTTGTATACTGCTAGTCCGAAACTTCGAAAAATCATAACTTCTTCATACGAAGTCAGATTTGGGCGTTCTTTTTATCGATGTTCTTAGTTTAGCATATTCTACGACTTTCATTTAGATCGCTAAGGCTAAATCTCGCTCTATCGTAAATTCACTATTTACGCTTTCCGGTATCGTACCGGTTCCGTTGCGAAACTTCAACGGGTCATAACTTCTTCGTTATAACTCGGATTTCGGCGTTCTTTATATGCACGAAAACCTCGTGACATATACTACAACTTGGTTAAGATTATTTATTCTAAAGAATCTTTTGTCGAAAAGTCGTTTTCGACCCCTATTGCCTCTAAATTGACTAGCCCGGATTTGCGGGCGTTACAATTATCTCCCCTTAGGATGATTACGTCCCGGAATCATCAACAAAACAAGGATCGTATAATGACTCCATACGTCATCTCTTCATCCTAGGTAATAATTATAACTTCTTTATTCCTTTAAGTCTATCTCTTAGACTTATTGACTGTAAGCAGTACATGATCGTGCACCTGCTCTCTACCTCATATTAGACTCCAAATTATGACCTATCATCATGTGATGTACGTTTACACTCAGGTCTCTTAAATTCTAAAACAGACTAAGCCTTCCTTCATGTTCTAATGTGATATAATCACACTTTTAACATTAGGCATTTCTAGCTACCAACTTCTTTAACAACGAGCGCGATACTTCTATTGATCGCTTTTGATTTCCATTGTTTGGTTTAAGTCGGACGCTTCATCAAACTTGGTTCTCTGAACCACGTAACCTACTTATCGTAGTCGGACTCAATTTGATATGACCACTAGGGTCCGAATATCAACAATCTTCTTAGTCATTACCGAAACGATGGTAATGACATACTTGAATAAAACGAAATCAATTACTGGCTTCTTGGTAACCTTGTGACTTTCCCTGATCCAAGTGTGAGTCCTGTGCTTCCGGTAGTATAGGCCTCTACTACCTTTCACACCTACTCATACTCGTCCCAAGTATTGGCCCGCAGTTTCCCAAGTCACCATGCAGCAATTCATACAATCATTCAACACATCAGATAGCAAAACGAGGGTTTTATATCATTTCTTGAAACGATTACATAGGTGTTCAAGTTCACCCTAGACTATGCCTCTACTAGGCTACATCATACGAAACTATGACTACTGCATAATCCGATCCTCGGGTAAGAAGTCCTCATTCTTGATTCCTCGCATGGTTCTCTGCTTCGTCGAGGATCATGTGAAATGCCCTTGGCCTTGGTGGCGTTTCTGGTCTTGCTGCTTTATTTTTCCTTGGGCAGTCTCTGGACATGTGCCCCTTGCCTCCACATCCATAGCATACTTTGTCATTATGCGTGCAGTCTTTGGAATAGTGACCAGTCCTTCCACACTTGTAACAAGTCACTTCCTCATTGCACTTTCCACCATGCTTCTTCTTGCATCTATCACACCATCTTGCTTCACCTCCATTTGCTCCTCCAAACTTTGAGAATTTGCTTTCCTTGTTTGGCCTCGAAGATCCTTCTATCTTCCGCTTCTCTCCTACCTTATCTTTTTCTAGACCCTTTTCTCTTATCTGGGCCTCAACGTTCTTAGCTGCCCTAACAGCTGCTTTCAAAGTAGTTGCCATTTTGACCATTGGGCCAAAGTCAGTGGGCAGTCCGTTAGCAAACCTATCAATCTTGGAGAGTTCAGTAGGCACCAAGTAGGGGAATAGCTATCCTTTCGGTGAACGCGGTGGCATACTCATCAACACTCATCTTTCCTTTCTTCAGGTTCTGAAACTCATTGTTTAGGTCTATCAGATCTATCTCTGAACAGTATTGCATTTTCAAACTGTTCCAAAAACTCTTCCCACGACATCCTTAAGGCTTCTCTCGTGGCATCGTATCTGCCAATAGCT